GAATTACTATTGTTATTAGTGATGCTGTTTTCATCAGCCTGATTATCTACATGTTCACTTTCTTGCATTTCAGTTAACAGATCCTGCAGTTTCTTGAGAATATCTCGCCTGCAAAATCAAACAGCTCTTTGTGTAATATCTCGTGCAATTCCCCACAGTTCTCCATACAGTTTTCGCTCATTGATATCTTCTCTTCTTTCTTCTTGGAGGTCTGCTGGAGACACAAACCAATCAATTGTATTATGTTTAACTAGTTCTGCTGATTGATGTTGGAAATTATCTTCATCAAACCTTGTGGCAACATGATAGGGTGTTTTTTGTGGATTGCTATGAATCTCTTTGTACCATCTTTTGTGAACAAGTGTGATATGGAATGCAGCTGTTCTACTACATAACATTACTTGGAAGAAATGATGGCAAACTATTCCACGATTCACAAGTCCCAGACAAGAGCAGATATGAGTTTTGTCAGTAAGAAGGATAATAAAATGGCAAAATCTTGAAGCAGTAACTGCACGGATGGCCCAGGTTTCTTCTATTCTGTCAATATCTACATTCTTCAGTATATAATTCATGGAAATTTGTAGAGTATCTTCATCATCTTCAACAAATTGAGTTGTATTTGATTCAAACTAAGAAAGTTAAATAAAATAACATGATGTGTTTGTAAAATTAGTTTCAGAATAAGAGTTACCCTAAGAATAACAATAACTACCTCCTGATATTCAATGATCTCCTCCTGCATAATAGTAGATGCCTGATAGTTCAGACAATTTTTTATTTCAGTACGTTGAACTTTTAACATTGTAGGTGTGAGAAAATGACACAATGTCTCATCAAGTTTGGGAAATAATGTTTGTGATAGGGTGGCTGAGGATGTTGATGGAAATAGAGTTTTCCAATATTTATACTTTGCCCTTTTGTTCTCTTTATTTATGCTTCTTTCCAAAGCTTCAGCAAGTTCTAGAAGACTGACATTAGAATTTAGGATAAACCTCTTGATTTGAGCATTATAACTCTCAATTCGTGATGTTGTCTGAATGCCAGCAGTAAATATTGTTGCTGTGTATGCACGTGCCCATGCTCTTTTTGATGAATATAATGTTCGCTGTAGGTATCTGACAACTTCAGGCTGATTATACTTCTCAATAAGTTGCATCCACTTACGTTCAAAGACTTCTGGAATGAGTGCATTACGTGTTATGTAAAAGTCCTTAACAAATTCCCTATATTGTTCACCCAACCGAGTTTCAAGGTTCCGCGGAAGGTTTTGTGCAATATGGAATATACAATGCATGGCATATGATTCTTCATACTCTTCAGCGATTGCTAGGTCTAGAGTGGGATCTGCATCAGTCATAATCACAGTGGGTACACAATTACCCGTAGCTTGCTTTGTCTGTTGTAAAATCCATCGGTGAGCATCAGCTGATTCGTCATCTGTGAGTGCACACCCAACTAAGCGAGAAGATCCATGATTATCAATACATAAAAAGAGTGAGAGAGCCATATCATAACGATTTGTCTTTGCCGTATTATCATTCAGGATTATATCACCAAACTCCATCCAAAGAATGATTTGCTCAGGTGACATCCAAAACAACCGTCGAAGACAGTGCGTTTCTCTATCCCAATCAATAGCAATATACCAACGGGGGTCTTCGTCCTTTTTTTTTAATAGGCTTTCATATAAAGATGCAGCGTCGTTTGAGATATCTTTCTGCTTCTTGTGGTAGAATTTCGCCATTGCTTTATGAATTTCAGGAAGGTAAATCTCACGATCAGGAAACTCTTTCTGTAGGGCTTTCTGAACTTGTAATGGTTTCAATCTAATATCATTCATGTAGAATTCTATACATTCGAGCATTTGTTGTGTAAGTTTATTATCATGTAAGAATTTCATCTGAAAGGAAGATAATTCATGATTGTGTTCATTATTTATGGTGGTGAGGTAAATGTTTTCGTGAGGATTATTCCATAGTGGTTGTGACAAATTTATGTGCCACTGACAGTTAATATACTTAGTACTGACTAGTTGCGTGTTTCTGGGTTTGTACTCGCCGCTGTGCTCGCAAAGTACTGTTCGTTTTCGTACAACTCCATCAGGAGTTTTCTCAATGCGGCCTTTCCTTAGTTTAAATCCTTCTTGTCTAGCGTATATGTTGATTGTATCAAACGCTTCCTCCCAATTCCGAAAAACGCTCCCTTTGTGCAATGTTTCTTTAAAATGTTGTGAACGGCGATTTGATCAAGTGATTTCTGCGGTACTGAGATAGAGTAGTACAGAAAGATGATCAACATCGACTGCGGTACCGAAATCTAAGTCCGAAACACTTAATTTATTATTATATTTTTATTGGATATTAATTAGCTGCGGTAGTTAGAAATCGGTTCAAAAATGTATTTAAAGACATGCTATCCCAGCATGCAAACGCATCGGTTTT